AACACCAGATGGTGAGCGCATATCACCCCCGCTTCCGGTGATAGTGTTCCACTCCGTGCAGATTACAGTAATTTTTACCCCATGTACCAACCCACGACCAATACCCATAGTCTATCCCTATAAGCACCTCTTCCAGCGTAATGACCTCTACATGCTGATCTCGCCATGTGGGTGGCGTGGAAACAATGAGTTGTAGTCATAAGACACAGTAATATTTTCATTATTCACGCAATTGTGCCGGTCCGATGATGAATTGCCGAAAACATACACTTGTCGAGAAGGTTTTTTTTCGGTTAATGATGAAAGTATTTGCAGAACATTAGGGTTAATTAAATCAACGTCAGTCCCAGAGACAGCCACTGAATGACACCACATGCTAGGAATTTTACTCGAACTGGCACCTCAAGTACAATTAAAAATATACAAGAGGGCGGTGTGGGTGGCGTACAGTAAACACGCATTCAGATAACGAAATGCGTCATCACGCTGGCGGCCTCGTGATGCTGCGCGAAAGTAGGTGCACTAACTCGAGAGGAATGAAGAAAAGAATTTAATATAGAGCGCAGACAAGCCCCAGTACCTACACAGTCACCAATTCCCTACAAAATAACGAGTTCGGCGGCCGGCTGGGTGTTCAAACCGTCGATCCAAGAAAAAAGACGGTGCAGGATGCCCACTTACCACCTCAACACACTTCGTCCTGACTGCTGACAATAAGAGACGCGCCAGAAACAGTATAGCTGCCGAATTCGTCCCGACTATCTGTTTACCTTAGTAACTAGGAAAAAAACGAGTGCAAAAACCGGGTATACACACACTGTTTCCAGCCAGCGATTGAATTGGTTTTTCATATACCACAAAATCCCGTGCCGTCCAATCGATTTCCACCCAGACTAACCGTCTGGAGCAGTGATTCCCATAGCAATGGCAATAAAATGACTATTCGCCTCCCATCAAAGTTAACATTGCGTGAGGATTGAACTCATCGGAACATATCGTTACATCGATTACCATAAGGGCAAAAAATATCATACAAAGGCTAATAGGATAAAATAATTTCATTGAAAAGCACTGCCTACAGAGATATAGAGAGCACTTACTAACACCCTGGGACCAGAGGGCAGGATGGTGGAGGGGCCAGTTGGCATGGCCACCAGTGGAGGAGCCAGAGGCGCGAGCGGAGCCCTGCGATTGCAGTTGTTG